TCCATAATAATGGAAAATCAGCCGATACATTAATTTTGAAAAAGGACACGTCAACAATATTTATTTCGACCGTTGTTGCATAAAAATAAACAAGCTCGTCTCATTGGCGTTGCTTAGTGACGTTAAATGAAAAAATTAGAAGAAGTTTAGAATTATCCGCAATTGATTCCTCCTCACTTTTTATGACTCGTTTTCTGAACAAAATTACTGGATTGCCGCGTTCCGTGTCACACATAACTACTATAACAAAATAGAAACAATAAAAAAGAAAACCTCTCCACCACCACCACTACCAACAACAACAACAACGACAGTAGTCATAATAATATGCATGAAGAATGAGAAAGTGAAGATGACCATCTTGATTGACAAGTGATTGGAGAGAAATCGCCCTGATATTACACTTATATACAAAATCAGCCATAGTCATAGACGTTGCGGTACTTTGGGTTAAGAACATCATGTAGTCAGAACAGGCGAAAATAAAGCATGGAAATTCAGAGAAATATATTAAGCAACACCTCAAGTTGTCCATTTTTGCTGTTGGGGAACTGTTGTAACCTAAGGAAGGTTACTGAATAGAATAATCAAACGAAAGTTGGTAATGAACGATAATACTTAGGGCACGAACAGCGCATATAAGATTCACCAGCGGCGCGTAGAATTAGTAGTCAACTGCTAGAAGAGAATCAAGTCAATTCCACAATAAATCTCTACCAGAAAACCTGCAGACAGTATCTACCAACTGCCTCACGCAGTCTGATGTGGCACAAGGCCGAATTTAATGTGGGGTACCCGAGCCCATAGGCCCAGCCAAAAATTCCCCGTAGATCCCGTATTTTTATACGGGATCTACGAGGTCGGATAAGTGTTTACCCGGAGGCAGACATCTTGACCAGCCAGAGCTGAAGACGAATTTTCAACTGCAGATCGGCCGACAGTGTCTACCAACAGGCCCATGCAGTCAGATGTGTCACAGGGCCGAATTTAATGTGGGGTTCCCGAGCCCGTAGCCTCAGCCCAAAATTTCCCGTAGACACCGTATAAAACGGGGTCGGATAGGTGTTTCCCGAGACGAGACTCTGCCCTTCGACATAGCCACGCCTGGGGCTGTTCTCTGCCCGGAAGCAGAGAGCTTAACCAGCCAAACTGAAGACGAATCTCCAACTGCAGACCGCCTGACCAACACATACAGTATTCACTGCTGTATTTATGGGAATGCAAGCATGCCCATTATCGTCCGTAGGTATGCTACAACATGTAATCAGGTCTATTTCCAAGAAATCCTTCGGCATCTTGCAATACCTTGGAGATATCTGAAATCATTGGTGTTCCTGTTATACTCAATCTTTACAATAGCCAGATCAAACAAAAAAAAAAATGAGTATTGCAGCCATATCTGGGCTGGAGCTGCACAATTCTAACTTGCGTGACATCCAAAGCTTATAACTGGCCTTGAGTGTGAGGAATTATTTTTCACCCTACAACTCTTTTCTCGCAGAGTATTGCTGCCATGTCGAGGCTGGAGCTGCACAATCCTCCCTTTACAGTCGTGAGAAGGTTCAAAAGCGTTTTCCCTCAGACAAAATGTAGCAAGCCTCTCACTACACTATCGTTATTTTCATGGCACGTACCTTGCTTAGCGACATTCCTTCTTTCTGCTAATCCTGATCTTTGCAGCGAAATCATGTCATGCTGTGCACGCATCGTCATTCCCTTCGTAGTAAAAAGGAATTTACACATCATGCTATCCTCTACATTTACAAGAGTCACATGAGGCCGGATATAGAGTGCAGTTGTCATATTTGGGCCCAGTCCTCATTTTCCCGTCTCGAAGAGTGAAGTTGTCATAGTTGGGCCCAGTCCTCATTTTCACGTCACGATAGAGTGCAGTTGTCATAGTTGGGCGCAGTCCTCATTTTCCCGGCACGATAGATTGCAGTTGTCATATTTGGGCCCAGTCCTCATTTTCCCGTCTCGATAGAGTGCAGTTGTCATATTTGGGCCCAGTCCTCATTTTTCCGTCACGATAGAGGGCAGTTGTCATATTTGGGCCCAGTCCTCATTTTTCCGTCACGATAGAGGGCAGTTGTCATATTTTGGGGCCCAGTCCTCATTTTTTCCGTCACGATAGATTGCAGTTGTCATATTTGGGCCCAGTCCTCATTTTCCCTGTCACGATAGAGTGTAGTTGTCATATTTGGGCCCAGTCCGCATTTTCCCGTCTCGATAGAGTGCAGTTGTCATATTTGGGACCAGTTCTCATTTTCCCGTCTCGATAGATTGCAGTTGTCATATTTGGGGCCCAGTCTTCATTTTCCCTGTCTCCATAGAGTGTAGTTGTCATATTTGGGCCCAGTCCTCATTTTCCCGTCACGATAGAGTGCAGTTGTCATATTTTGGCCAGTCCACATTTTCCCGTCACGATAGAGTGCAGTTGTCATATTTGATCCCAGTCCTAATTCTCCCGTCTCGATAGAGTGCAGTTGTCATATTTGGGCCCAGTCCTCATTTTCCAATCTCGATAGAGTGAAGTTGTCATATTTGGGCCCAGTCCTCATTTTCCCATCTCGATAGAGTGCAGTTGTCATATTTGGGCCCAGTCCTCATTTTCCCGTCACGATAGATTGCAGTTGTCATATTTGGGCCCAGTCCTCATTTTCCTCACAATAGAGTGCAGTTGTCATATTTGGGCCCAGTCCTCATTTTCCGTCACAATAGAGTGCAGTTGTCATATTTGGGCCCAGTCCTCATTTTCCCGTCTCGATAGAGTGCAGTTGACATAGTTGGGCTCAGTCATCATTTTCCCGTCTCGATAGATTGCAGTTGTCATACTTGGGTCCAGTCCTCATTTTCCCGTCTCGATAGAGTGCAGTTGTCATATTTGAGCCCAGTCCTCATTTTCCGGTCTCGATAGAGTGCAGTTGTCATATATGGGCCCAGTCCTCATTTTCCCGTCTCGATAGATTGCAGTTGTCATATTTGGGCCCAGTCCTCATTTTCCCGTCTCGATAGAGTGCAGTTGTCATATTTTGGCCCAGTCCTCATTTTCCCGTCATGATAGATTGCAGTTGTCATAGTTGGGGCCAGTCCTCATTTTCCCGTCACGATAGATTGCAGTTGTCATATTTGGGCCCAGTCCTCATTTTCCGTCTCGATAGAGTGCAGTTGTCATATTTGGGGCCCAGTCCTCATTTTTCCGTCTCGATAGAGTGCAGTTGTCATATTTGGGCCCAGTCCTCATTTTTCCTGTCTCGATTGAGTGCAGTTGTCATATTTGGGCCCAGTCCTCATTTTCCCGTCACGATAGAGTGCAGTTGTCATATTTGGGCCCAGTCCTCATTTTCACGTCACGATAGAGTGCAGTTGTCATATTTGGGCCCGGTCCTCATTTTTCCGTCTCGATAGAGTGCAGTTGCCATATTTGGCCCAGTCCTCATTTTCCCGTCTCGATTGAGTGCAGTTGTCATATTTGGGCCCAGTCCTCATTTTTCCGTCACGATAGAGGGCAGTTGTCATATTTGGGCCCAGTCCTCATTTTCCCGTCTCGATAGAGTGCAGTTGTCATATTTGGGCACAGTCCTCATTTTCCCGTCTCGATAGATTGCAGTTGTCATATTTGGGCCCAGTCCTCATTTTCCCGTCTCGATAGAGTGCAGTTGTCATATTTGGGCCCAGTCCTCATTTTCCCGTCACGATAGAGTGCAGTTGTCATATTTGGGCCCAGTCCTCATTTTCCCGTCACGATAGAGTGCAGTTGTCATATTTGGGCCCAGTCGTCATTTTCCCGTCACGATAGAGTGCAGTTGTCATATTTGGGCCCAGTCCTCATTTTCCCATCTCGATAGAGTGCAGTTGTCATATTTGGGCACAGTCCTCATTTTCCCGTCTCGATAGACTTCAAAAGTGACTCTGAGTCCATGTTTCTGACCAGTCATTTTTCACCTACCAACCTCTCTTGCACTGGCGGTATGTGGTGAGTCTCTCGCCGCTCTTTCGCTACTTCCATGGAAAGTGCTCGATGGAACCATTCCTTGGTTCCGTCAGATTTAACTTTCACGGCGAGAACCAGCTATGCCACTTGCATCGGAGCAAATCACCCACATTCTCTCCGTATTCCATCGGCAACAGCTAAGTTCCATTCCAACAGCTTCTTCCCAAAGACTCCCAAAAGAATGTTTCCCCGATCACTACGATCTTAACCTGTTTAGAGTTAACCGTTTTCTTCCCCACTAATCCGCATGAAAAGTTTCTTACTCTGTAACCCTCTATCTCGAGTGGCTCTTGGGTCGTGTACAGGGTGAACCTTGTTATAAAAACAAAAAATGAGCAGATTCTTCTCTAGAATTGTTGTTTTGGGGAACAGGATCCCAATAGGATGTTTTCCCGATCGCTATAATCTTAATTGCTATAATCTTAATCGCTTTAAATCTAAGGTTAAGCGTTATCTTTCTTACATAAAATCAAAAACTGTTCTTCTTGCATTTTCTTACATTCGTACAATCTCATACAATGCCGCTCTACCTTGAGTGGTTCTTAGGACTTATGTTGAGTGAAGACTGAGATTAAAAAAAGGTGTCAACGCAGTTTGAAAGGTATCATTGCATAGGTAAGTATTGTTTGCTAGAAGATGAGGTCTAACTTCCCTCACGCGGTCGAAACATCCATGAGCCTACGAGGCTCTTAAATGGAGAGAGTAAAATAACAAACGGGATAAACATTCATCGATAATGGTCCTCCACTCCTTCCTGTTGGTAACTGATAATCTACAGTTCTTCAATATTGCTCTCTATCCTCCTGTAATCACTTGACCAACGGTTATGCTGTTTGACACTACGTTTGCCATGAGTTGGTTACCAGTACCAGTACATCAACAACACGTTTTTTTTTTATATGGCGCCCGCTGTGTCCTGTAAATCTGACTGTGCTTCTGTATGTTTCGAGAGATAGGAAGGATTTTGTCATCGAGATCCATGTTTTATTGGTGTTAATACCACGTGATGTCATGGTTTAGCATATTTTCCATAGAAAATGTCAGAGGCAAAGTCGTCGATCCAGAGACATGGATTAAACAACAATACGGAAAAGGCTACACTTTATTCTCCGGGGAGGGGAGTGTCCGATTTCCATATTACTATACTTATGCTATTTTGAAGACAACGTTTAAGTGTTTTCATATCTATCTATCTATCTATCTATCTATCTATCTATCTATCTATCTCAGGCAGTTCCTATCTATCTATCTATCTATCTATCTATCTATCTATCTATCTATCTATCTATCTATCTATCTATCTATCTATTTTGTCTATATTTATCTATCTATCTGTTTTGTTCATATCTATCTATCTATCTGTTTATCTATCTATCTATCTATCTATCTATCTATCTATCTATCTGTTTTTGTTTATATTTATCTATCTATCTGTTTTTGTTCATATCTATCTATCTATCTATCTATCTATCTATCTATCTATCTATCTATCTATCTATCTATCTATCTATCCCAGTCCATTCCTATCTATCTATCCCAGTCAGTTTCTATCTATCTATCTATCTATCTATCTATCTATCTATCTATTCTATCTATCTATCTATTAGCTAGGTGGACCCTGATTTTTATAAGAATGTATTTTGTGAAATGCTCGCACAGGCTCGTAAAGTCTTCGCTCACAAACATCACATGCGCCAGTTTGTTTTACGAAATGATATCTAAAAACGAACACTAA